AAGAATGCTTATTTTTCCTCATCAGATGGTTATCAATTTTTATAAATTCATATGATGTGATTTTCTGGAATTTTCTTTGGGATTCTGTCCTTCACTGTTAGAATGTACATATGATTAAAGTTATAGATCGTTGCATTCTTTGTAAGTGGGCAAACCTGCAAAATCAGCAAGGGCTCAAATACTTATTTCCCCCACTGTATTTCTGCTGGGAGCTAGCTTACTGATTCAACATCAGTCTTCAAAAGAGCCGGGACCTTATGGAACAGAAACCATCTCAGTGACACACACAGAAGCCTCCGTTTGCTTTAAACATCCACTCAGACTAAAGTCAATCCTAGACTTAGAGTTTGTGGAGTAGCAGCCGGAAATGTGTCCAAAGAGCTACACTTTCACTGATAGACGGACGAACACTCATCAAAGTGTTAGAATGTGGCTATAATGACTCACGTTAGCATCGTATGCTATCACATAATCTATGTAAATTACTGATTGTTTTATTCCTATATTTTTTTGTGTTAAAGTCTCTGTCTGTGTCCACAGACTCTCTTTTCTCTCTTTTTCTCTCTCTGTTGCATTAGATCCCCCTTTAGCTCAACACACACACACACACACACACACACACACCATTCGTTAGCACATTCCTGTCCTCTGCATGAATTAGGACCTGGCCTGTTCGTGCCCAGAGGTAACTGGCCAATAGGACTTGGTTGTGTCCAGTCCTCCTTTGAGGAGGCGGATGGAGCCCAGGAGATAATGCCCATCACCCAGATCTCAGGGCTCTTTACCACTGAGACCCAGAGAGAGGTTTTAGTCTGTCAGAGCCCACTGATACACTTAACTGTGTCCAATAAATGTCATTTTATACTTTTGATCCACTCTGGTTTATTCTCAGGTTTCCAACTAAAGAATCGGGTTAGGAGAACATCCAAACTCCTCACAGATACTCCACCATGCCGGGATTCGGACCTGGAACCCTCAGGCTGAGGGGAGGGGGCTAATCTCTTTGCACCTGTTTGAGCAGATGAATTATCCCTGTTTGTTACAGGAAGTGTCTTGTGGCTGTTTTTAAAAAAATATTTTTTATCTTAGTCTGAAACTCTGAAACCAGTTCAACCAGATCCGGATGACGCAGGATCTGATTGAACTCAGATAATCGGGTCCGTCCTGATCTGCAGGGTTAGGGTTAGGGTTAGGGTTAGGGTTAACCCCAGTTGGACTGGGATGGACTGTGGGACGACTGCTACAACCGGATGACCCGTGAAAGCTTTTTTTTTTTTTTTTCCAACTTTATTTATTGAACATTTTTTAAACCAATAACATACAGAGTACAAAGTATGAAGATGGCACATTTAGTAGCACAACTGTATGCAAACAACCCAAAATAATGCCCAGCAACCCCCACCCTCCCCTTTACAAGCATTCACACACACACACGCTCACTCTTTGGGGAGAAATAAACAAAAAATAAACAATAAATAAAAAAAATAAAATAAAATAGAAAATCAGAAGGAAAAAAATTAATAAATTACAATAAATAAATAAATAAATAAATAAATAATCAAATTAAATTAATAAAATAATATTTATACAAAATAAACAAATAAAACACCCTCTCTCCTACATAACTCCCAGTTCTTCAGAGTTATAATTAAGAGATTCTGTGTGTCGTAGAACCGTGAAAGCTTTTTTAAAAGTCTGTTCAGATGAACATTTCTGAACAACACCGTCTCAGACTGTAAATGTTGACCCTGTTTGAGGCGTAAACTTTTAAACTTTGGCCCCTTCTGTGATCCAGCTGAATTTAAGGTTTACTGGTGGAGTAAACTCTTAGCTCCACAGGATGGCGCAGTTCCGCCTTCAGAATTTATTCATTTATTTATTTGAATAGGTACAATGCACATTAATGAACATCAGCATAAAAACAAATGTAAATATGCCGGATTATAGCTACAAAGCTAGTTTTCATCCGAAGTCCCTAGGCAGGAAAATACATAAGAAAGAACATATAATAAACAATATAAGCATCACAAGCAAATGTTAAGATTTTAGTGGTCACATGACTAGAATAATCCACGGGCATTCCCACACCAGGAAGCTCCCACAGTACCAGCTCCACAACCAGAACTAAACACACAACAATAAGAAACCACAGGGGGGGTTAAGCCTTAATCTGTCCCTCACAGCCAGAGAATCCCACTATTAGTCCTCAGGAATAAACTGTGAGCTCCACCGATGAGGAAAATAACCGGAAACATGGAGTCTAACTTTCCCATTCCGGAGCCCGATAACGTCCCTGTGACG